CCTCTTTGGGTTTCCAAGGCAGTGTCACTACAGAAATAGATTGCCCAACCTTCCTTCCCAGGAGTGGCTGATGAGTTTGAACCACCAGCCTTCTGATTAGTAGTCAAGTGCCTTAGGCACTTGGCCACCAGAGCTCCTACATGTATTAATAGTGTACAGAATATATTTGTAAAGGATGTACTCTTTCTTGTGGTCTTAAGATACACTTAATAACATGATTTAGGTAATGAAAAGATGAAACAGAACTCGTGGTTATTTATTAGCCTGAATTGTTTATTAGCTGAGAATTGTCATGTGGATGAAAACATCATGGGGCTCCTTCCCTGGGATTTTTTTTTTTTTTTTCAGATTAGCAATGCTGAGTTCTGGCCAATTCTTAAAGTTAGAACTTAATGTTTTTGTGTGTCAGTGTTGTTATGTGCTGTTGAGTCGGACCCGACTCACAGCAACCCCTCCATGGTTTTCCGAGGCAGTAGTATCACTACGGAAGTAGATTACCCCATCTTCCTTCCGAGGAGTGGCTGGTGGGTTTGAACTACCAGCCTTCTGATTAGCAGTCAAGTGCCTTAGGCACTGTGCTACCAGAGCAGTATAAATAAAACTACCTTTTTTTTTTAAATGAAGAGAATATTTTAACAATTAACTCCACTACATTTGTGATCTACTCAGGACCTTCTGGCCTCACTGGCCCTAAAATAATATACTTTACGAGATGTTCAGCTTTGGTGGAGTTGGCTTAGATGTTAGCTGTGCCCATGCCAAGATTGTATGTAATTAACGAAAACCTCTACTGTTCTCCACATCCATACCTCTGGCTTACTACAAGTAGTGTTAAATTTCCTAAGTGTCATTTCTTGTTTCTCTATTAGAACCATACAAAAGTAATGGAAAAAAAGGGAATGTTTGTGACTTTGGAAAAAGATATGTACACAAATGTCCTTTACAAATGACTATAAGGTTTTGTGACAATTTTTTGGAAGTTTTTCTCTTTTCCCCCCAAAATTCTTCCATTTCTGTATATAAAAGTAAAAATATATTGATGGAATTTTCAAAGACCAAACTCTTCCTCAATTTTCCTGTCTTCAATTGATGCTCCTATCACTAATTTCACTACCTTGAAAAGCTGTACAATTTAAACAGGATAATACTATAGAATGTGAATAAAGTTTATTAGAAAACAAATGGTAATCCATGAAACACGTTTTTTTTTCCCTCAGTGGTAGAGAATACAACCAAAATAAGCATATTTAATGTCCTTTGTCTCAAGGCTCAATGCAGGAAGAAATGTGCTTTGAATCCTTGGATGGAAAGAAAAGATAAAGGCAGACAATCATCTCCACTATGTTTCATTTTTCAGGAAGAAAGGTGATGCTGTTGAGCGTGTATGACAACAATTCTGATTACAGTCTGGTTAAAAAATGCTGCTCTGTGCTTTGGCCTCTCAATTCGTGTTTTTCTTTTGGAATCTGTTCAGGGCTTTCATAGCCTAGGTTGATGTAGTATCCATTTTTGTCATTGCCTGAATAGTCTGTCCTGTTTGTGGGAGGCCAGGTTGAGTCTTCTGCCAGCTTTTTTTGCCAGTTCCTGTATTGACTTTTAGAGTAGAATCCAAATTCTTTCTTGATCAACAACCAGAGCTCTCGATTTTGAAGGATGGCATCCTGGAAATACAGGTGGAAAAAATTATCAAATCTTCATCTCCATTTCCCTGGGCAGCCATTTTGCTTAAAACCACCCCGTTTCCCCAGGCCTTGCTCTAAAATGTGCTTCTTATTGCTGCTTCTGTAGTAGCTTCTCTGCTGTCCCCAGGAAGTCCAGCAAGTTCCCTTGCATCTTCCCTAGACATGCTGGGAGGGAGGGCGGGAACAGGGGGGAGTGCACGTTCAACAGAGATCTGAAAGCTACAACATTTCATTTCCACAGATTTCCTGGCTAGCCGTTCACTTAAAATTATTTTTATGCCAGACTGAAATAATAACAATAACAATGTCCTCAAAATCAAGGAAAACAAAAATTCATTCAGTGTTAGTCCTGCTACTGCCACCTGCCCCATAGGAAGTGCCAAATAAATGTTTATTGGATGAATGGATAAATCCTTGAAATCAAATGATGATTTTATCCCTTTTTTTTGATTTCTCTTTTATTCTTTGTCTACATACATACACAATCTTTACACATTTGTAATGATTGGATAGGTAACATTTTGTATTCTGCTTGTTTTTACTGGCCACAAAATAATATCATAATATACATTATGTGATACACAACATTTTTCTTGTTACAGTCATCTTAATACAAATTTTAGTGACTTTAATACAGTATTTATTCAAATGGCTGTACAACCACTTATTTAAACAATGTCTATTTTTGAACACTTAAATTGAGTCTACTATTTTGTATATTGAATACCTTCTTACATGTAGATATTTTTTCTCTTTTTTTTAAGAATATAATTTTTAAAAATAGGAACTAATAAGTAAATAGGAACTAAGGAATTAAAAGGAACTCTGGTGGCATGGTGGTTAAAAGCATTCAGCTCCTAACCAAAAGGTTGGCAATTCAAACCCACCTGCCACTCTGTGGAAAGATGAGGTAGTTTGCTTCCATTAACAATTCACAGAGTTGGAAATCCTGTAGGGCACCTCTACTCTGTCCTGTAGACTCACTATGAGTCAGAATCAACTGAATGGCAGTAGGTTTGGTGGTTTTTTTTTTTTTTTTAAGGAATTAAGGTAATCTCAGCTAAATTTGGAAAGAAAAAAAATCTATTTCTCAAAGATTCTTCCTGGAGTGAGAGCTATTTTTTTTTTTTTTTTTTAATGTATTGATCGTATTCATCAGTTCTGATATCTGAAAACCCCATAAAAATATTTGTGTACATTTTTTTCAAAAATTGTTCCCCTTTCCCAAGGAATTTATGTGAATCTTAAAAAAAAAATCTAAAATGCCTTAAAAATGTGGCATTAGGGCCTTTTACTGAATGGGTAAAGTCTATTAGTGACACTAAGTAGATGAGAAATGCATGCTACAGGGACCTCCAAGGGTAGGCACTGACTAGAATGAACAATAGCTCCCTTGCTCTCTTCATAAGGAAGGCCCTCCAGAAGACCATGCCTCTGCTCAGCTTTACTCTTCATCTCACTGAATTTCCCAGATGGAAGGTCACCTGGCCTGGTCCCTAATAGCTTATGGAAAAATACTAGAAAATTATAATAGAATGTCCTCATGTAAGGCAAAATTACAGTTAATTTGAGGCTTTGCTTTCTATTTTGAAGATACTAGAAGCATTTCTATGTAGCTTTCAAAAAATTTTAAATCATAAAGGAATTTGTCCCAAAGAGAAAATATACAGTTTTTATAAACCCTTAATAACTATCATTTTTAGGGACTCAAGTAGTTATTCTGAAAAATGGACCTCTTTTGGGAATGAGACCCTTTATTTGTTTATCCCTCCCAGAAAAACAGTAAGAGTCACACAGAAATTACTTTACCTCTACAAAGAAGGCCACACAGAATTGAATGAGGGCTGCTATGAGAATTAAAACCCTCCATGATGTGATGGTTGGGATGAACTGTTGAAAAAGAAATACTGTCATATACTTTGCATCCTTTAAATCATTTTTTGAAAAAATTAATTATTTAATGTTTATAAGAATTTTCTGAACTTGGAGGAGTGGGCATTACCTTCTCCACTTTACAAAGGAGAAAACTGAAGGTCATTACCTTGCCCAGGACTCAAAGCTGATAAATAAACAGCAGAGCCAGAACTGAAATGGCTGAAATGGGAACTGACTGCTTCTTGGCCTGTGCTCCCTCCCCCACCTGACAGTGTCTATCTAGTAAATATGCCCTGGGTTCCAGATGTAAGCAGAGGACACTTTGGAGCTGAGGTGTCTCTCTTCAATTCTACCTTTTCAAACAGAGGGAAAAAGGTGTAAGATTAAATCATTTATGCAGTAATATTATTTTGAAGTCTCCCAAAGCAAAATCTGCTTGGAATTCTTTCTCTCTCTCATTTTTTAATTTTTTTTTTTTTTGTTAAAAGTAACACATGGGCAGAACATAAGGAGGACAAAGGTGAAAGTTTATTTTGATTTAAACTAGTGTACAATTTCTGAAGGCGCTCTGGTGGCGTATTGCCTAAGGCACTTGACTGCTAACAGAAGGCTGGCAGTTCAAACCCCAGACACTCCTCAGAAGGAAGATTGGGCAATCTATTTCCCTGGTGATACCACCTCAGAAACCCAGGGAGGGATCGCTATGAGTCAGATCCGACTCTAAGGCAGTGCATGCGTATGTACAATTTCTGAATAGAGGTCCTCAGTTCTAAATCTAATGGCTTAATGAAAGTCAAATCCATCCAACCCACCCTCTTTTACAGATTGAAGGGTACACATTTACCATGGACTACAATTACTTAATAGTTATGAAAGTCACAACTTCCCATGGCTGAATCCATAGCAAGATGGTAGTTATACAGCACCCCCCACCCCGCCTCTCCACTTTGGCTTTCCAGAGTAGAATATGGATGACTGTGTGTGGAACTGGGCTCCCTTGAGGACTCTCCAGAATACCTAAATACTCACCTCTAGAATTTAGAGATCATCTAAAGAATAGATTTGATGCATCGAACACCAACAACCAAAAGCCAGATGAATTATGGGAAAATAGCAAGAACATTATTCATGAAGAAAGCAAAAGATCACTAAAAAGACAAGAAAAGAAGAGAAGACCAAAGTGGATGACAGAAGAGACTCTGAACCTTGCCCTTGAGC